GCAAACATTGGCAAGAATCTGCAGCTAATTTTAGATGGAAGATTTGCAGTGTCTGTTGTTTTTCCTGTTCATTTTAGATGGGTAAATTGTAAAAACGTTGAGGAATCTGACCTGCTTTTTTTTCCCCTTTTTGTCTAGGTTTGCAAGGCATGCCAGGGGACTACGTATCTCAGGGTGGTCCAATGGGTATGAGTATGGCACAGCCAAGTTACACTCCTCCCCAGATGACCCCACACCCAACTCAATTAAGACATGGACACCCAATCCATTCATATTTGCCAAGTCACCCCCACCACCCAGCCATGATGATGCACGGAGGACCCCCTACCCACCCTGGAATGACCATGTCAGCACAGAGCCCCACAATGTTAAATTCTGTAGACCCCACTGTTGGTGGACAGGTTATGGACATTCATGCCCAATAGAATAAGGGAACTCAAGGGAAAAACAAAACAAAAACAAACAGAAACTATTTTAAGACTTTTGAACTTTGACCAGATGTTGACACTTAATACGAAATTCCAGACAGCTGTGATTATTTTTTACTTTTTGTCATTTTTCATCAACAACAGAGGACCAATGAAACAAGAACACAAATGTGAAATCATGGGCTCACTGAAATGAATATGTCCATGTACAGATCCTCTGGAAAAAAAAAAGACTCCAAGAGTTATAACTACTGTAGTATAAACATAGGAACTAAGTTAACTTGTACATTTCTGTTGATCACTCCGTTACGTTGCCTCAAATAGTTTTAGAAGAAAAAAAATCCTTGTTTTCCACACTATGTGTGTTGTTCCCAAAAGAATGACTGTTTTGGTTCAGCAGTGAAGTCACTATCCATGAAAGACCTGTTTTGGCCAGTGAGAAAAGAACTACCCTGGAGATGAAGATGAAAAGTCTTGCTGGGTCTCTCATCACTCAGAAGACTGTTCCAAGAAGGCCTTGCCATTCCCTCATTTTGTTCCTTCATAAAATGTGTCCTTTAGTTTCAAACAGATCTTTATAGTTTGTGCTTCATTAAGTCTCTCCCCATTCCTCCCAATCTATTTTTTTTTTTGGACTCTTCTTCAAAGAGCTTGCAGGTGAAGATTTAAAAGACAGAACAGACAGAGCAGAAGCTTCTTCCAGTAGTTCTGAGCCTTGGCTTTGGACAAAACAAAACTAAAAGTTGGGCAGCTTTCCTCAATGAAAGAAGTTACTAACGGTCTTTGCACCAAACCTAGGACTTTATCATGAACTCAAAGCTTGGGAAAAAAAAGCAAGAGAATACTGTAACAAACTTCGTACAGAGTTCGGTCTATTAATTGTTTCATGTTAGATATTCTATGTGTTTACCTCAATTGAAAAAAAAAAGAATGTTTTTGCTAGTATCAGATCTGCTGTGGAATTGGTATTGTATGTCCATGAATTCTTCCTTTCTCAGCACGTGTTCCTCACTAGAAGAAAATGCTGTTACCTTTAAGCTTTGTCAAAATTTACATTAAAATACTTGTATGAGGACTGTGACGTTATGTTTTAAAAAGGAAAAAAAAAGGTGTTAAGTCACAAAATGCGGTAATAAATATTTCATTTTTGATTTTTTGCTAGGCTTTTGTGTTTTTAATCATGTTTAGGAGAGTCTGAGATTATCATGAGAGATATCTCAAATATATTTCTTATCAGCATTGAGAAGAAATGCTGGAAAAATCAGAAACAAGTTTGTCATCACATTAATAGAATAATTGAATGAAACGCTATCTGAAGTTATATATTTCTGCTGATTACTGATACTAGATTTTTGCCAGATTAAACAAAATTTGAAATATTGTTTCGCCAGCTTGCATTTCAGAGGTGTGTCTAATACTTGTGCTACCTGCTAAGAGCATAGGAACTGAGCTTGAGTGGTGAAGGCCCAGACATGGGATGACTAATGTCATGTGTGTACATGTATGCGTGTGTGCATCCCTAGCACAGCAGCCCTTACCTCCAGTTATTTAGCTCAGAAGCAAAGAATGGCTTTATTGCAGGAGTAGGTTTAGAAGTTTTAGGAGAAGAAAAGAAGCTTTGACTCCAATGGGAATTTTTCCTACGTGAGAATTGCATAAGCTAGCTTTTGAGATGGTTTTACTCCTTTTGTTGTCTTCAGCTGTTTTCAGAAAAGAAAAAAAAAAAAAAACAAAAACAAACCAACCATACCAAAACAACAAACCATCAGCTAATGACAGAAGAATGTTGATTTGACATTTTGTATACAAATAGCTGGAGTAGAATCATGGTTAAAGGTTTATTTTTTTCTTAAACCAAAGCTTCTGGCACTTTGAAGCAACTAAAGCAGAGTTTGAACTAGGAAGAGCAATGATAAATTTAGAAAAAGCAGCCTCTCACCTTCCTCAGTGGCACTGTTAAATCAGCAAGAGCCGGATGGGCCCCAAAGGGCAGGGGAAAGTTCTGCCTTTTTTCCTGAGAGAAGGAGTGTGGGAAAGGACTTGTAATTAACTAAACTTTCTAGGAAACAAAAATGTCCAACTTCAACACCTGTAAATTTGTAACCCTTCTCCTCCTTCCTTCTCATCGTTCCAACTGGCCAGGGTGTTTTTAAAAACTGTGAGTGACAACTTTTACCCTTAGAATGTGGAAAGAGGCTCAACCTCTTAGTTAATGTTTAATTTCTGAGCTGAGCAAATGGACCCACGCTGCTGGTGACAGAAGGGAGGATGCCAGTAGAATTTATTTAGCAATCGGGTCCTGCTTTGTGGGCGTCTCTTATAAGGCTTTCGTATGAAATTTAAATTATAATTCCCTGCTCTGCTTTGATGCTCTCTGTCCTGGTTAAAATCACATCGACCCTTCAGTCACATAAGAAGACCACAGCCTGGGTGCCCATTCCCAAATTCTCTGATTTTTGTGGATGCAGAATTTAAGAAGGCAAGATTATTTCTGTTAGCACTTTAAAGGGGAGGCTTTTGAATTAATTTTTTTAACAGTACGTTATTTCCTTGCAGATTTTTTTCTCTAGAATTTGAAGAGAAATGTCTGAAATCACATTGCTAGAAAGACAGGGAAGAATGTAGCCATAGTAGATTATTTGTTTTTATAATGAACTAAATATGTGCATTGCTGTGTTGTCTTTTATTTTCTTTCTTTTTTTCTCCCCCTTTTGGGCTGTGCTCTCCGTGAGATGTCTTGCTGAAATTCAAGGTACAATATCACACAGAGATTTCTCCATCTGAGATTTTCTGTTTAGCGTGGAAGGTTCCGATTTTGGTATTTTTAAGAACTGCTCAGCTGTCAAAAGCAAACAAAACGGGAATAATGTTTTGACAGCGGTATAGTGTTAAAGAAAATACTCAAGTCTGAATAAAAATTGCTTATGCTGTGGGAAACGAAGGGTAACAGAAGAAACACCTTTTGTTTACATACACACATGTTTATAATCCCAAATTTCTATTTCGCCGAGCGGGTCTGCGTTGGGAGTTGTAGTCACCATAAATGAGGGATTTTTTTTCCAGATTTTGCTGCCTTTAAGGCGAAGAGAGGAGGGGAGCGCACCTCCGGCAGCGCTGCCGCCCGAGCCCTGCCCGTCGCGGCGAGCGGGCACCGCAGGGCCGAAGAGGAGATGCCGGGGGGAGCCGGGCGCTCCCCACCTTTCACTCCTAGCCGCAGAGAGAGCGAGGGAGAGAAAATTGCCACAGACCAGGTTTGCGAGGGCCGGGGGGGCTGGGAGGGGCCGGGGCCGGGCCGGGCAGGGGAAGGGGTGCGGCGGGCGCACGAGCTGGACCCTCTCTCCATTGTAGGGTTTGCTCAGCGCTCCAGCGGCTCTCCAGGCTCCCCGAAGGGAGCGAGGGTCTGCCGGGGGCGCCTTTGCGGGGGTCGATGCGGAGCAACCAGCCCCACTATACGCCTGATGCGTGTGCTAGGAAAAAACCCCCACGGAGCCCGGAAAACGCCCGAATCTTTTCCCCAGGCACGACCGCGTCCCCGCGCTGCGCGGAGCGGCAGGAGAAGGCTCCGCTGCGCGCAGGGATGGCTGCGCCCCACATGTCTCCCCTACCACATCCCTGGGTTCAGCAGAGGAAACGGGGCCGGCCTTTTAACTCTCCTAACAGCACTTGGGGAAAAATAACCCCGCTGGCGCTGCGCCGGAGCGAGCCAGCTCCAGGCTGGGCAGCCCAGCCGCTGAGGGCTGAGCAGGACCGGATGGGATGAGGGGCGGGTGGGGGCAAGATTTGCAGGCAGATTTTAATATTAATAGTTTTGGTGGAGAGAAAGAGACAGACAGAAGGGAGGTTGCTCCTCTGGGCAGAGTCTCTGCGACACCGATGATGGATGACCCCGCACGGCTAAACAACTCCTCCCCTTCATCCCCACACGATGTCAAAGCTACTTTACTTGCAGCTTTAGGAATAAAAAAAATAAATAAACACCTACACCCCATTCCTTACATCGATTTATGGATCATTGTGAATCAATTACTGCCCTCAATATTTTAGAATTCGCTTACAAAAACAGGAGGGTCTGCGGCTGGAGGGAAAAAAAAAATCTTTGCCTCAGTAAAAAATACAGAATCTTCTTGTATAGGCCTGTGACTAAAAAATCGCTGCTAAAAATTAGTGTTTAACCATTTTCCAGGAGTCGCATTACTGGGATGGGGTGAATATCTTTGGTGTGCATCTCCAAGAGCGCCATTAAAACCAGAGGTTCCGCAATGCGCGTGCAATACGCAGGGTGCGTGCAACCTCATTGCTTAACTGTTCCAGGGAAGAAAGAAAGCAAAACCAAAAAAGATTTAACAATCCCAGAAGCAAACTCCATAAGGCACCCCCTCCCCCCAAATGCTCGATGTGGTGCCGTGAGAGGGCGCGGGGCCGGGGCCGGGCTGCGCGCCCATGGGGCAGGACAGCGGAGCCCGGCTCGGTGGCTGCGTGCAATGGGAAGGAGGCTTCGGCAGGGACAGAAAGTGTGTGAAGTTGGATTTCTCTCGCTTTCTCTGTATTCTCCCATTTGCAGCAGTGTTTGAGGATCTCAAGGTGTTTCTATGGCTACCTTGTGTATGTGGGAGGGTCATATGTGGGGGTGCCCAAGAGAAAAGGCAGCTCTTGGGTGATCATTTATCAATGTCACCCACATAATGATTCTCTCTGCAGCCTTCTATTGATGAGGATAATTACATTAGCTCAGAGTGACTGATCAATGAAAAACCACCAAACAAAAACTTCTTTACTCTTCTATAATACCAAAAACCGATACAGAAATAAGATAGAAAGGGAGGGTGGGATTTCCCTTTCCTTCCCTTTAGCAATTATTTTTGTAACGAACAAGGGAAATCAAGGAAGTTTTATCCGATTAGTTTCCTTTTCAGAAGAGGCTACCATTTTGTGAAAATGTTCCCTTAAACCTCTTGGCATCACCCGGTGCCTAGTAAAAGCAAATCGTTATTTAAAATATTAACTACTACTTCTTCCCTAGACCCTAAATCCTTTACTTTTACAGTTGTGTTTTGTGATCGGAGAGCGGAGGTTGGAGGGGGAGGGAAGAGCGGGATAGTTTGGAGCTGCGAAGAGGGAAAGGGAAGGCAAATAACTTTTCTTGCGCAATTTCAACTGTCTCTGTTTGTCAGGTTTTCTTTGGTTTTATCACTTCATAAAGTGGCTCTATTAAAGATGGAATGTGGCCTCCCTGAGATGCTGCTCTGTCGGTGAAAGCGTGCAATTAAATTACGGGTTCGTTCTTTCCAGAGTTAAAAATCAATGTTTTCTCAATTAAAGGGAATTTTAATGCTTTTATTGGGAGTTGTTAAGGACGCCGTAAATTTTACTGTAATGCCTCTGAGCTCCGCAGCCCTGCCAGTGGACAGGTTGATATTCATGTTGGTTTTGCAGGAAGAGGTTGTTGCTGGTTTTGTTTTCTCTCTAAAGGGCCTTCTTCAGAAAACTCAATCATTTTGAATAACTGCAAGACAAACTGGTGCAAAGGGGCGGAGGAGCGCAGACTCTTCCTTCTGCCCTCCCCTCTCCGTTTCTGCCATCAGCTCTTCCCGCTGTGGCGGGGAGCTCTGCCTTACCGCTCTCCCACCGGCCGTAAGGGCGGGTTTTCCGCTGCTTTTGCTGGGAAGGGAGAACCGCTTCAGTTTCGGAGCACGTGTTTCGCTCCCTCCCTCGGAGGGGCCGGGGGTGCTGAGCGGAGGCCGCGGGGGCGGCCGGGGCTCCCCGGGGCACAGCGAGCTGCCCGCCCGGCCCGCTCGCACCCTGGGGCTGCGCAAGGGCTCCCGTCCTGCAGCCCCGGCGCTCGGAAAGGAGCATGTCCCGTCCTGCTGAAGACCTTGCATTTCTGTAAGCATCTGCCTACAGGCATGACTACAAGTTAGCCCTGGGACGTAAATGAATGGAAGTCGGAATAGGGCTGGCAGAGAGACTTTTCTCTTTTTTTCTTGCCAAAATATTGTTTCTTCACAGGCTACTGTCAAGTAAAATCCCCACCAGAGGCTGAACACATTTACAGGGGGTTAATTCCCCGAGCCGCAGGAGAGATCGTCCCCGGGCCGTGAGATCAGAAATAGGCCCCTATCGCCTGGTTTTGTCCGAAGAGTGTTTAAAATTCCTTAA